AGAAAATAGGTGATTGCTTGAGTTTATGTTTAGCTGTCAGCGTAGAAAGAATCTCCAGCATCATTCAACACGTTTGATAATGTAATCTCAAGTAAAAGATTCCAGTGGACATTGTCGAATGTTGAAATGTCTTTCAGTCATCGCAAACAAAGTGTATCTGCGTAAAAACCATTGCCATCAATTCACCAGATGTACAATTACATGAAAGCGATTGTGGGATTTATAGGATATGGTCACCGCATTTCGAGGTTATTTTTCATTGCATACCATAGCACTACTCCGTTGCTTTGTGCCTGCAATACACATTCAATAACAGCTCATATCTAATGGAACATTTCCCATGATATTCGAAAGCAGATTATTGCATCTTTGGATAGTGCGCAAAGCCGAAAACTCGCGATTAAAAGATGACAGTATGTGAATTAACAAACATGCGCACTGAGACTTTGCCCAATCTATACCTCGCATTGTGTTACAAGAGATCTTGGTAATGACGAAGTGGAATCCTTGATAGGATATGGTTTCATTGATCCACTATGGAGACAGTTTAGCACACCTGATACTAACTGTTTATAACGCGGCTGAGGTCTGCGAGACCCGCTTGAACTGGTGATGCTAACTGCCAAAGTTACGATTGTACAAGAAGTAAACATTTATTCTGTTACCCACGGTTGCATTATTGCTCACAAAAACTGTTTGCTGGTTGTGAGCAATTTTGATACACTTTGAGTCTACCTTGCCTTTGAATGTCATCAGCTCTATCCAATTTAAGTAGGTCATTTACCTCCGAATCACTCATAACTGCTTCTGAAATTATGAATACACTAATTACGGAATCTTAGTTGCAGGTGGGAGCGCTCTCCACGTTCCCCGCCAGGGTCCCCGACGGGGAGCCCGTTCCCCGACGAACACTACTCATAACTGCCTCTAAAATGATGAATGCACTAACCACAGAATCTTAATCTCAGTATCTTGCTGATCCTTCACATCTATGCACTAACCGTAGAATCTTAATTACAGTATCTGGCTGATCCTTTACATCTTTTCGATGATCCTGTGAATGTGAAACCAAATGTAGCGTACGATGTATGGTGCAGATTGAACAGCGACCCAAAATCACAATACGACGGCGTGAGTCCAATTCTTGAGATACACTCAATCGAGGCGCCTTCTGAAAGTCAAATAGTATTGGTCAGTAATGTACGTTAGAAATCATGTTTTTTGGTAATGCAATATGATCTATATCAAGTGAAGAGATCTTATTAAATAGGTGCCATTGAAATAAATGATTCATGCATGATTCTAATGGCATTCTCTGATCACTTTGATTGGTAACGTAACTTTGTAAGAAGCTGAAATAAATTTAAAAACTCATGAGATTATCATAGGGACGCATCTGATAAAAATTATAGGTGATAAATTATAACTTAATTATAGCCTTGGGAGCGAAGGAGAGAAAGTAATCCAATTAATCAGGCGTCATCGCTGAATGAAACCTCACAAAAGCAGCAGTTTACGATGCAAAGTTACGGACTACGTACAGAAACTCGAGAACAATCCAGAGAAAGTCAGAATGTGCGTACATTTACAGTTACGATCTATAGTGAGTCATGAAACACCTTCCATTGAAACAAATAGTTTTACGCATGACTCTGAAGGCAATTCCTCAACAATTCGACTGGTAACGTAAAAGAAACTGAAGTGGGTCACCCGATAATAGCAGAGTACCGCTGTTATTCTAAAATGATAGGTGAACAAAGGAAATGCTAAATGCAGCCTTGGGGTCGAAGGAGAGCACTTCATCTGTCAACATTTCAGCCAGTGCATCTCAAAACAGCTCATTTGACCACAAGTAAGTTTGTGTCATGATTTGACGGCTGGAGAATCTTTTCAGACTGACCAGAACAAGGATTCAAGCAAGCAAAATTGCGAAGTTGTTGTTGACTTCATTACGCAACAGCTGGCTGAGAGGAGTGCTCTTTATCAAAAGCATCGTCAGGAGGCAAATGCTGCTAAAAGTTTGAAGTATGCTTAATTGCGTTGTAGTGCTCGAACTTTGGACTGACTTTTCGCCTTTTTCATTGTTCCACTTGAGATATATTTTTGGTTTTTATTAGCCTTTGAAGTTTTCCAATGATTTGGGCTGCATTCGACTGGAAAAAAATTGTTTGTATGTGTCTATATAACAGCTGAAAGCATTGTTCAGATTAATTAACCAGTGCAATACGTGGATGACTGATACAATCTAGGAATTCGTTCAAAATCGGATTCAACATTACATTTCTTTTCGTTTTAAATACATAGGACGATACGACTAGACAAGGAAAGTAGTGATCCGATAGGATTGTTTCGTGAAACAAAATGAGCATTCAATGGTAAAAGCGCTGCCAAACTGAATCGCTCGCTTCGAATGCCCAATCCATCTCCATAGTTGACTTCAACCATACTGAATGAACTGAAACGAAGGCCGTCACTTGACAGTCAGATCAGAATGATATTTGCAGTGCAACGGATTCCTATACTGTATCACTTTCATTCAAACAATGGATCAGCGAAGAGGAACAACGCGCTGACCACACATCTAATCTTCTATCATTTCTTGCTTCGATTGCTCACGGTGATACGGTAAATTCATATGAGGTAATATTGACTGTTGGCATTTTCATCCAGTTGTTTTCACTGTAGAATCAGAACGAAACATACCTGGATCACCTGGATCGGCCAGGCTATCAAACGTTTATAACGTTGCTGGCCACAATGCTCGCGTTTCCGTGCGCATTGTTTTAGCCTCAATTTAAGCCACTCCGCTGGCTAGGCGAGCAGGCCAACCGAACACAACCGAGTAAATAATTAGTCGCCGTGAATACTTTGCATAATTAAACGCAGTCAAATACCAATTCAATAAATAATCATTACTCTAATAAAATAAATATTCCGACGATCGCTCACCGCGATCGACGAAACAACCACTCGATGTCCAAGTAATAATTATAACGAAACATAAACGATTAAAATCAGGTTCCCTAATTATGTCCGAATGAAATGGAATCAACATTCGGTAATGATAAAAATGACTTCGAACCTGCAAATTATCGAATTCAGTAGACTTTGAATGCATGTAAGCGCAAAATTGTTAATGTTGTCACCATAGATCGATTTTCAGAGGCCACCTGCGTCACAAACTTCTCCTGAGAAAATTTTGGAAGTCCTACGACCTGTCATTCGTGCTCAACTTGTAAGTCATTTTCAATTGTTCATCTATTTTCCACTACCCCTTCAATATTTGTTTCCTCCTTTCAAGAAACCGGAAAATTACTTCAGTTTTATCCATTGTATCTTTTGATTTCATCCACACTCTTCTGTTTAAATCACGCAGCTCTGGTTACACTTTACAGATGAATTTTTTCCCTGCATCAAGCGAGCGCCAGCATTCTGTGAGGGAAGATGATGTTTAGAAATGATCATGATCTTTCATTATTGATGGAAAAAGATAATGCTTCCTTAAACATTACAACTTTTTGGCTTCGATCCGCATGAGCCGTTCGATAACCACAACAAAACAAATCAATTTTAAGAGGTTTCATCAGAAATGCGCAGAAAAAATGGATCCAAAGGATTCGAAATGGCAGAATCTTTTCGACGCAACGAGAAAGCAATTGGAGATGAATGATAAAGAATTGGACGAGAATGTCTTAGCATCGTCATTGGCGATGCAAATTATACGTCGTTTGTGTGGCAGTGAAAGTGCTGCATCTCTACAAGAGCCTTCGAAAAATCAACAACCTCCCATTGGGAGTCAACAGAAATCATCCAACATTCAGCTATCAACACCAAAGGATCTGACAGTGTCCCGGGACACTCAGAAATCAACTATAAGAAATCGGGAATGTAATGTAAGAAAACAACAAGAAATTGCAGCAGCTGAAGAGAAATCGCCAGTAAATCAGCGATTACAAGAACAGGTAAGCTCGAACATTTGCTATTTTCCCAAAATAATACTTCCCAAGTGGGATTGAAAGATTTATTGGGTTTGATTATCAATTAAAATGAAAGTGTTCAGTGATTTTAAAGCGTCATTAATCATTTGAAGAAAGCGATTCAGATTTTAGTGCTACAAATTGGTTCCACCAGTTGAGCTGAGGAGGATAGATCAGAGAACTTTAAGGTTCCGAATAAAAAGATTGAACGAGTCGGCAGCGCAAAACAGTTGTCCGAAGTTCAGCAAGAAACCGAATGCACTGCTAATACAACACTTGATCTGATTGCTCAATTATTGTGTGAACGTTTAAAGATGGTACAATCGCATCGGAAAGAATGTCGAGATGGAATGAAACTGTATGTTGCTTTCGCTAATGCTTCATTCCTGTCACCGTATGAAGGGGGATGGGAGTTGTTTGAGAAATATTATTAAGGTATCGAAAAACGGCAGTGTAACTTGACCAATCTGGAAACTGTACAAAATCACTTTCACTGAAGTCCACTATGGAAGCTGAATCAATTGCAGTTAATAGCGCGTGACGTCTGAACTGAAAATTTGTCTTTTTGCAGTCTCGATAACTCTTCAATGGTTGCCTTGATGAAACAACAAAGAAAACAGCAAATGGATGCAAGAGAACAATATACGAAAATAGTGTCTGAATTTGCTGCAAACCGCCCAAAGGTTTAGTCTGTATCACATTTGAAAGAGCAACAAAATTTTCTTCAAGAAGCAATGGTCTGTAATACAGACTGTGTATCAACCAAATTTTTGCTATAAGCTTATAATGAATTATTTAGTTAAGGGTATGCTCAAAACAATGTTGCTTGTCATTTCAGGGGTGTTATAAATCACGTTATACTTATGAAGAGACTTCGCGAATCTTAACGAAGTTGCGTAGTGAATTTCATCCATATTTGGTGGGTTCTTACAGGAGCAACATCATATGCCTATAGTGGATCATGCTTCATAATATTCATTTTTGATTAAATTACTGGCAGTAATTAATTACTGATAGAATATGATGCATCATTAGCTGATCGCCGTGAATTGTTCAATTGATAATGATTTTCTGGCGCAAGGCTATATCTATACGTATACCTTCTTTCAGTTTCAATATCATGGATTTCTTTTAGGCCTTCTATTTGAGTCG